TCTTTATATTAAGACCATCAGTCAAACAATACTGTTGGTCTGGGTCTAAACAGAGCGCGTTGTGTGTGACGTCTTCTTTTGCGCATGCGGCCGCTTTGAGCGTTCACACTAGAGCGCGTTTGCTGTCACATTTTATTTGTAGTGTGAACGAGCAGACAAAAAAATCTTTTTTTGATCAAAAAATCTGAATTGAGCATCAAGACCTGCAGAGTGAACGTAGCCTTAGACGTCCTCGCTTCACAGAGGGCTTTTTCTTATATAGTGGAGCAAACTCTTTTAAATCAGTGAGATGCAATTTTCTCTCCAGTTTTCAGGTTGTCTGCTTCAAGGCGTGCCATTGTGGATTTAACCAGGGAGTCAAGAACTTCTGATTCAAGACTATTTTCAGAGGAGACACAGTATCCAGAGTCATAAACAGTGAGGAGAGAAAACTATTAACAAGTTAATCGACCTCTGTGGGATTAGAGTTTAGGTAACTGCTCTGAACTGTTGCTAAATGACACTGAAGACGATAACAGTGGAGGAATAACATCTTTAAACTTCATTACAACAATTTCAGAAATCCTTTACTGTAATAAAACACATGCTGTTTAATTTAATATTCACCTGAATAGAACAGGAAACAATAGCCCTATATTGTAATTGTACATGTACAACGAAATTATGAGTGCTAGACGCCAACTCTGCAGGAATAAAATGTAAACAGCAACAGTTTACAGTTAAGATGAATATATGCAAGAGAAAGGCACAAAATAAAAAAGGCACACATAGAAAACAAAGTGCTTGGAAGTAGAGCAAAGGACTTGGTCTACTATAGAGTCAATGTGTAAGTATAGTGCAGAGTAATGAGGGTTACTCAAATTGACCCACCATGGGTGGGCTTTCAGCGGATAGTGTTGGTTAATAGTCTGAATGGTCCAGGGGAAGAAGCTGTTTGTGAGTCTGGACCTGACTGACCTGAGGCGCAGATCAGAGGGCGGTGGGTCAAACAGGTTTTGGGCGGGGAGCGAAGGGTCACCTGTGATGGTGGTGATGGTTATCAGGCAATGGGCTCCAGGGGTGGCAAATGACAGCCAATGATTTTTACCTTCAGCGCAGCCTTCCCTTTTTTAGTAGTGGCCGCTGCGTACCAAATATCCAGGCAGCAGGAGAGCATGCTTTCCACCGAGGTGCGGTAGAAGACCAGGAGAACTTCCAGTCCATGTTATTGTAGTGGTAGTGCAGCCGCTGCTGGGCCTTATTTACCCGAGCGTTGGTGCTGTGGGTCCAGCTGAGATCGGTGGAGTTTATTGTAAATTTAAATGTTATTAAAAATCATCAGAGAAAAAAGGAGTCTGTGTGTCAGAGGGGTCAGAGTTTGATTGACTCTTCTTAGCTGCCTCACAGCATTACACTTTCAGACGGCACAACGGTATCTTTATCATAAGCAACAACCACCCTGCTTCAAAGCAGCATCTACGCTGCTTCTCATAAACCTAACTGGAATAGACTTCATGCTGACCTCCTGTTTTTACCAGTCTGTTTTGCATGCTTGGAACTGGACTGTTTTTACTGTAAAGATGTTAATGTAGAGGAGGCTCTACTTTACAATCCCTTGATACCAAGTATGATGCTCAGCACTGTTAGTGTTCAGAGGTTCCTCATAAATGCTGGCCTAACAAAGCTGGCGGGGCTGAGGACCAGAGATGGGCAGTAACGTGCTATTTGTAACGCGTTACTGTAATCTGATTACTTTTTTCAAGTAACGAGTAAAGTAAGGGATTACTATTGCAAAAACGGTAATTAGATTACCGTTACTTTCCCGTAGGAACGCTGCGTTACT